TTCTTTTTCAACATTCCTCTGGCTATTCGGGTTCTTTTCTGGTTCCATACAAATTTTAGGATTATTTGCTTCATTTCTTTGAAAAAAGTTGATAGTATTTTGATAGGGATTTCATTGAATGTGTAGATTGCTCTAGGTAGCATTGACATTAGTAACTTCTTTCTGATGAACAGAGCTCAAACACAACCCAGCAGCCATCCTGATTGGGGAGACAGAACTGAAAATTCTGTGGGACTAAGGCAGCTATAATTTTCAGAGCACAATGCCAGGAGTGAGTATATAGAGAAAGCTCTGGAGATCTTCAGGGAATTTCTCTGAGCCTTAAACTGAGTACTGATCAGTATATGCATGTGGGGAAACTACTCAAGACTGAGGAATGAACCACTGGGAAGAAGCAGGCAGAAAAATTTTGGGGGTTCACAGAAGACTGGGACTAGTTTACATTCCCAGTATCTTTAGTGGAAGAGCCCTGTAATGTCTGGGGGTGTTGAGTACAGTAAGGATATTGCCTTAGTAGTGGATAGAAATTAGCCATAGATGAATGGCTGTTCTGATCCAGCCTAGGAGAGCGTAAAATCAAGCCTCCAAAGGGCCAAGCTATTTCCAAGTAACTGTGTCCCAGATTAAAACTTGAAAGTGCTTGGAGGACTAAAAATAAAATCCAGCATTCAACAATGTAAAATTCTGCCATTCGATGAAAAATTGCAAGATAGGTGAAGATGTAGCAAACACTCCATATGTGGTTAATAAGAATCAGTAAAAGCAAACCAAGAAATGGCACAAATGAAGGAATTGGTAGACGAGGACTTAAAATAACATAAATATACTTCATATGTTCAAGAAGGCAGAAGGAAGCATGGAAAGATTAAGAAGAGACAAATATAAAAGACCCTAATCAGACATCTAGAGATAAAAAAGAATGCAATGTCTAAGATGAAAAGTACACTGGAATGAATTAAGAACAGATTAGACATTGCAAACAGTAGAAACTATCCAAAATAGAATGAAAAGAGAATAAAAGAGGATGAGTGAGCTATGGGACAACTTCAAACAGCTTTATATACCGTAATTGGAGTTCCAGAAGGAGGAAGAAAAAATACTTGAAGAGATCATGTCTGAAAAGTTTTCACATGTGACAAAAACTATGAACTCACAGACCCAAGAAACTCAATGAAACTTTAGACACAGGAAACAGGAATAAAACCACACCAAGCACATTATAATCAAATTAATACCAGTGGCTAAGAAAAATATTAAAAGCACCCAGAAGAAAAAGGACACACACACTACATGTAGAGGAACAAAGTTAAAAATAAAAGCAGACTTAGAAACAATGCAAATCAGAAAACTGGAGCAAAATCTTTAAGTACTTAAAAGCCCTGCAAAACAAAACTGTTGACAGGATTTTATACTCAGCAAAAATATTGTTCAAAAATGGAGATGAAAAAGTGGAGATGAAGTAAAAACATACAAAACCAGAATGAATTGATTGCTAGTAGACTAGAACTGTTAAATGAAAATCTTCATTCGGATAAAAGGAAAATGATGTTGAAGGGAAATCTGGACTGACTGAAGGGGACCAAGAACACTGAAAATGGTAAATATGTGGGTAAATATAGAAAACGATAAATATGTGGGTAAATATAAATATGTGGGTAAGTATAAAATTTTAAAATTTTCTTCAAAAACAGTTGCTTAAAGAGAAATTTATAATGTGTTGTGGCGTTTATAATATATGTGGAAGTAAAATGTATGATAAAATAATACAGGGTGGGAGAGGGGAAATGGTTCTTTTAGTGTGAATTTCTTTCAGTGTAAGGTTCTTTTAGTGTATGTGAAGTGGCATGATGTTATTTAAGGCAAACAGAAAAGTTAAAAATGTATACTCTATACCTTAAAGTAACCAAAAAGAAAACATAAAGTTGTGAAGCAATAAGCCAATAATGAAGATAGAATAGATTCATGAAATATACTCAATTGTTTCAAAAGAACAGAATAAGAAAAAAGGGAAAAAAGAACAGCACAAATAGAATACAAATAGGAAGAGGGCATACAAATTCAGTTATATCTATCACATTAAATGTAGATAATTGAAACATGTTAATTAAAAGTCAGAGATCATCAGAGTAGATAAAAAGCAAGACTCAACTATATACTGTTTATAAGAAAACCACATTGGATATAAAGACCAAATAAGTTAAAAGTAAAAAGACAGGAAAAGATACATTATACTAACATTAATGAAAAGAAAGTATCTATATAAATTTCAGACAAAGTAGATCTCAGGGCACAGAATATTACTAGAGATAAAGAGGGTAGTTTTTAATAATAAAGTTGTCAATTCATCAGGAGGACATAACACTACTAAATATTTATGTACCTAATATCAGAGCTTCAAATTATATGAAGCAAAAACTGGCAGAATAGAGAGACAGATACATTCATAATTATATTTGGAGATTTCAACATCCTTATTTCAATAATTGGTAAAGAAGAATACAGGAAATCAGTAAGAATGCAGAAGATTTGAAGAACTCTGTCAACCAAGTAATTCAATGATAGAACACTTCACTCAATGACAGCAGAATACATATTCTTTTCAAGAGTAGGTGGAATACTTACCAAGATAGTCCATAGTCTGACCATAAGCAAATCTCAATAAATATAAAAGAATTATAATCATATAAAGAATGTTCTCTGCCAGCAATGGAATCTAAGAAATCAGTAAAAGAGAACTAGCTAGAATAATTCCATATATTTGAAAAAAATAACACAGTTCTAAATAACTCATAGGTCAAAGAAGAAACCAAGAGGGAAATTTTTAACTGAACGTAATGAAAATACAACATTTCAAAATTTGTGGAATGAATCTCAAGTAGTGCTTTGATGGAAATTTATAGAATTAAATGCTTATTTCAAGAAGGTAGGTCTCAAATCAATGATCTAGGCTTCCATTTTAAGATACTAGAAAAAGAGAAACAGATTAAGCCCAAAGTAAACAGAAAAAAAGCAAATACTAAAGATTGGAGAAGAAATCAAATAAAAAACAAAATTAACAGAGAAAAATAAATGAAACCTAGTAAGTTTCCTGAAAGATTAAAATTCTTTTGTGAGCTCCCTTGCTCATAAATTCTTTAACTTGGGTTCATGTGCCTGCTTGGTTTAGCTTCTACTTATTTCTCTGACCTTATTTTTTTATTTTCTCTACCATGGTTATGCTGGCCTTTCATATTTTCTGTTGTCTTCTCTACTGGCACATGATCTTTGCACATGCTGTTTCCTCTGTTTGCCCCATCCTGAACTGTGTCAGTGTTTTTACTTCCCACCCATTTTCACCTAGTTGATGTCTACTCGTTCTTTAGACTTAGGTTTGATATCCTAGTCTAGGGCATATACTACCCTACCTGTAAACTCTACTAGGATAGACACTGTGTTTGTTTTGCTCAATATTTTATCTTTCGCACTTAACATATGTCTGGCTCATGGTGGATTCTCAGCAAATATTTGTTGAAATGGGTAATAGATGGGTAATAGATCTATTGTCTTAGGATATGACAAGTTTGAGCATTACTCCTTTCCTACATCTCATAAATCAATATTCTGAGGATTGAAAGATCATTATTACTCTCCGGCTTATGAGGATTAAGAGAGAGTATTTAGAGATTTCACCATCTCCAACACCCCCCGCCCCCAACATTTATACTTCATATATTCATCCATTTCTCTGTGAAGTTCTGCTGGAGAGTTAAGTTCATTTTGTGATGTATTATTTCTCTAGTACTAGAAAGTTTCATCATTAAGGCTACTGTTTGGTTTGTTTTGTTGTATTACCCATACCAAAAAAAGAAACTTGGTGCAACTTGTGCCAAATACCTAGTTAAAAATCATAATAAATTAGAGGAATTTATGAATATTTCACATGCAGATACTTCACTTTGTAGTTTAAAAATATATCAATGACTAAAAAGTGAAATCAATGCTTCAACACTCTGATTTTAAGAATTATGCACAAAGAGAAAATAATGTATGCTGGTGGAATTTTTGTATTTCAGACATTGGCTTTATTACATGTTAGTTTTTTTTATTCCTCAAAACGACTCTTTGATAATAGAAATTCATACCTTTTTTTCAGGTAGACTTTTAGTGATTTGCTCAAAGTCTCAGAGTTAACATGCTGTTAAAATTCAAACCTAATTTTCATGTCAAAACCTACCATTTTCCCACAGGCACCTCCACTAGAAAATGTAAACTATTAAAAATTTTTGCCATCCTAAGGATCAAATGTTTAGGTCCTAATGATACATTAGCTAACAATGGCTAGCAATTATTTCAGTTTGTCTAACTATGACACAGTCAGTTAAATGGTTTCTCTAAGCTAAAATTGTGATCAACTATTCACACATAGCACCCTAGTAAGAAAAAGAAGGTAGAGGTAAGATTTTGTCCATCAACTAAATTATGTAAAATGCCAACTTCCTGTAATGTAAATCATATAAAAACAGAACAGTGGGAACTTAGAAAATGTGGGTAGTAAAAAAGGTTTTTATTAAATGAAAAAAAATGCTTCATGTCATTTAATAGTTTGTCATCAACTATGAAAATTGAAAAAAAAGATTAGCTGAAGAGAAATGTTCTGGCTTAAGGGTTATACTTTAGCATTACATTCTGTGAGGTAAGCTATTGCTACAGAAGTTGGGAGAGGGAAGGCAGGGGAGAGAGTTCAGAAGATAAGTTTCATCTTGTTGCTGGGGCTATGAACTATGAGACATTTTATTCTTTAGCAGATAGGAACCTATGTGAAATAATTATTTTTTTTCAAGATTTTATTTATTTATTTGACAGAGAGAGAGAGATTGAGAGAGAGAGAGAGAGAGTCAACACACAAGCAGGGGGAGTGGCAGGCAGAGGCAGAGGGAGATGCAGACTCCCCGCTGAGCAGGGAGCCCGATGCGGGACTCAATCCCAGGACCCCGGGATCATGACCTGAGCCAAAGGCAGTCGCTTAGCGACTGAGCCACCCAGGAGCCCTATGTGAGAGAATTCTGATGTCATAATTTTGGGGTGTTACTGGGACATTTGATCATCATTCCTTTGGCAAAGATGGTACAGAAGGAGAGCCTCAGGGTCCAGGGAACAGAACAGAGAAGACAGTATAAGATGTATTCTTGTTTTCTCAGTTGTCCTTATTTCTGTCACTTGGGAATTTCAAGGTTCTTGGGGACATAGAAAAGAAGAGGTAGTCCAGGCATTAGGGAGAAGATGTAAAGAATCCCACATAGGAAGAGCCGTAGAGAAATTTGTAAAGGTGCAGTTTGAGGCCTTTGGTGTGGAATGAGGACATAGTTAGATTGGATTAGTTTGTATTAATAGTTAAGGGAAAAACTGGAAGATAAAGATAATGAAGAAAATGGGATATAAAATGAGAAGAATCTCATGATTTTGTACAGATTAGACTGTAGGCGTAGAATATAAGTAAATTCATTCATAGATTAAAATATTTCATATCATTGGAGAATGAGGCAGTGAAAAGGATAAGACTGTCAAACAAACTTCAGAGATAATTCTTTGCTGAGTTTCAGCTTGCTGCTGGAGCTATGAATTGTGACATTTTATTCTTTAGCAGGTAGGAAACTATGTGAAAGAATCTTCTGATGTAATAATTTCTGGGTGTCACTGGAACATTTGATCATCATTCCTTTGGCAATTCCAACCTTCTATGGAAGGTCAGTAGAAGCAGTTGATTTATTCACCTCTACGGGAATCAGACTCAGCCTATTTTGGTAAGTCTATGTATCCTTGATCGAATTAGCCAGAACTTAATATCTACATAAATTAGATAGTTATACTAAACCATAGATTTTACTGTAGTTTTACTAACTTGTCATTGAGCATACCACTTTTTTTCCTTGATAAAGGAAACACAGTCTATAAAAACCATTATATATAATATTCAAATTCCTAAACTTTAATAATTTAGTTTTATTATTACCACAACAAACACTTATTAGGCATAGAATACTCTTCTAGGCATAAAAAACAGTTATAAGACATATTTCATTTTTCCTGTCTTTTGTTGAACACATATAAATTTATACAAAAGTTATTAATTACGGTGTGCCAGCCACTGTTCTAGGTATTAAGGATTCAGTGAGTGGTGACAAAGATAGGTATGAAAGGTGGGAGGGGCAATGATTAAGTAAAAACATTTACAAAAAAATTAGGGCGCTGGTTCTCAACAGGGGATGATTTCTTCCCCTTCTCCACCAGGGAACATATTGGCAATATCTGGAGACATTTTTCATTGTCACAGCTTTGGGGGAGGTGCTATTGGTGTGCAGTGGGTGGACGCCTTGATGCTACAAAACATTCTACAAAGCGCAGGGCAACTTCTCTCCCCAACAAAGAGCTATCTGGCCCCAGATGTGCATGGTGTCACAGTTGAGGCATCCTGAATTAGAGTGATAACTGTTACAAAGCCAAAATAGAGAGTGCTATGAAAACTTCTATAATGGAGTGGTTATGGATGGCTTCTCTGAGAAAGTGAACTGTAAATTCAGACTTAATGAATGAGTTGGTCCTAGCAAGTAAGGAGTGGGGAGCAGTGGGGTAGGGAAGAGTTCCAAGTAGAGGCAATAGTAGGCAGTAAAGAGCTTATTTTATATAGTTGTGTGTGTGTTTGTGTATCATACTTATATCTGACATATACATTATGTTATGTGTGTGTTTGTGTACATATATTTAATAATGCCCAGTAGCATCCACTGGGTACTAATAATTAACATTTATTGAGCACTAACTATGTGTTAGGCATTGCATTTTACCTGTATAACCTAATGTAATCCACACTATTACCCTGGAAAGAGATACTATTATTTCCGATTTATCCTTGAGAAGCATGCTTGGTTAAGTACCTTGCTTAGGATTACATAGTCTGTCCAACTCTCCCACTTTCTTAACTAATGTGCTGTAAATGTACAGAGGCGGGGGGTTGAATGATCATCAGGAACAGGATTAATGGAACCTATCACGGAGGATGTGAGGCTCGGCTCTACTTATAAGGAAGAGAGGGGCTTGACAGAGAGGCAGTGGGGAGTGGAAGTAGGAGCTCAAGCTTGTTTATTGTTAACACCCATTTCAAGCAAGCTGGGTTTTTTTTCACATAGCAGAAATAGACTTCAGTAATGTTAACCATAGGGCACAGTTTACTTCTACCATCTAATTGCTGTTTTATATTTGTTGCTAGACTTCAAATTGTATGTAAAGGGGAGTTGTGTAATATAGCATTTATATACTTCTATAGATACTTTGAAATGTCATTTCTATATATCTGTAGATACATAGAATGTTTCTATGTATCTATGACAAAATAATAACATTAAAGACTCCAAAGAACTTTCTGAAGACAACTCAACCCAGTGCCATTATTTTAACTTTCTGATCTAGGTTTTCAGTGAATTATGCCTTTTCAGTTTGGGACCCAGCCAAGGAGGTTTCCAGTGGAAGGAGGAGATTCTTCAGCTGGGCTGGAATCGGGGCTGAACTCCAGTGCTGCCTGTAATGGGAAAGAGATGTCACCAACTAGGTAAGGTCTGCTCATCCTGATGACTGAGGAAATGCGTAATGGCTATTATCAATATAAGCTTTAGTTGGTGTTCAATATTAGCAAGAAAAAAATCCAGGACCATTAAATTAATATTAACAAACATTGCTTATGAAATTAGTATTAACAGATTACAGGTTTTCTTAGCCAGTCTGTTTTTGGTACCTCTGTTAAGTCTCAGTGATAGACCAATTCTTTTTTTGGTGAATTTTTAGCTAGATTGTTGTTACGTTGTTGTTGTTAGATAGAAGAAAGATAGCATTCATTTAAACAAGCAAACCTTTAGGGCTCCTATATGCTAGGCATAAGGCGACAAATATGAAGAAGACCCCAACCTCAGATTTAGTGTCACTTTGGCTTTGATTTGACTTTTAACAGAAAGATAGTAATATAGAGTATGAATATTTTATAAAACAAAATCATTTTCTGCAAATTGAAGAAAACTATGAAGAATAGGAGTTGTTTCACTTTTCTGCTGCTTACCATAGCAAAACATCAAATATACATTGTTAGATTTCTCATGGCTTAGAAATTTTTAGAACACAGATTTGAGCTTAATAAGGCAGGTACTTTAAAAATCAGAGTTATTCAAGGATGCAGTACTATTTTGGAAAGTACTAAGCACTTGTCTTTAGAAATGTCTGAGGTTAGGTGATTATCTGGTGGGAATGTTGGAAGAGAAATTCAAGCGCTAGTTGTATTTTTGGACTAGATGCCATTTAAAGATTCTTTTATTTTTTAAAGATTTTATTTATTTATTTGACAGAGAGAGACACAGTGAGAGAGGGAACACAGGCAGGGGGAGTGGGAGAGAGAGAAGCAGGCTTCCCTGCTTCCCGCTGAGCAGGGAGCCCTATGTGGGGCTCGATCCCAGGACCCTGGAACCATGACCTGAGCCGAAGGCAGACGCTTAATGTCTGAGCCACCCAGGTGCCCCTAAAGATTCTTTTAAACCTGAAATTCAGTCAACATTTGAATAGTGTATGGAATAGCATGTTCAGTTTTATATTTTTCCACAAATATTCTAGTTTTTAGATCACTCAATTGAAGTGATTTTAAGGTGCCTATATGCATAAATTGCCATAGTATTATCACTATGTTTAGAACTATGCACTTCCCCACCCCTCGCCTTTTTTTTGCCATTTAGCAATCACTGCATACCTTTCAAAATGATCATCCAGAGGGTTATTTTATATTTATAAATTTCCTGTGACTAAATGTATGGCAACAATCACAATTTCTTTGCAACATAAGTCTAAAATGTCTGGCTCATCAGTGCCACTGTGTTGTAATTATATTGTGACATTCAAAGCTTTCAAAATGATTTAAAACAGTTGATATGCAAACTTTGCTCCTCTGAGAAAATTTCCTATTTAGTATCAAACCGCATGTCATTTGCTCTCTTATTCAGGCAACTCCGAAGATGCCCTGGAAGTCATTGCCTGACAATAACTGATGTTCCTATCACGGTCTATGCAACAATGCGAAAGCCACCTGCAAAAAGCAGCAAGGAAATGCATCCTAAATAGCATCATTAAGCCTTTTGTAGAGGTTTGACTAGGTCAAGGGTAATGGGCCAGTATCATCTTATGATCTGATAAACAAATAAAAGTGGTGGCACCTTTGGATGATGACAATAGTGGAAATATTTTCTTTTAGTAGGAAAAGACACAATGTCTTATAAAATTTGTAGTGATAAGCCATCAGTTATGTTTGATAGATAAGACAGAATAATATTTCACAATTAGAAAGTACTTTAGAGATCATTTTGCTCACAGTGGATCATTAATATCATTAATTCAGGATGAAGGTTAATCCACCTTAATTATCAATCATGAAGGGCCTGTTCTAAATACTTAATGTGTTTTAGGCTGGTTTCTTTTGTTTATATTTGGGTTGCCACTTAGCTGAATCCTTTCACTTGAATACCCTAAGCCAGTTTCTGGCTTGATATCTTTTTTTTTTTTTTTTAAGATTTTATTTATTTATTTAACAGAGAGAGAGAGATCATGCGTGCGGGAGAGCACAAGCAGGGGGAATGGCCGGCAGAGGAAGAGGGAGAAGCAAGCTCCTCGCTGAGCAAGGAGCCCAATGTGGGGCGCGATCCCAAGACGCTTAACCAAACTGAGCCACAGGAGTCCCAATAAATTGTAAACTTTAGAGTTATCTCTAAAAGCAAATAATAACAGAGAGTTAATACCCAGTAGTGGAGATAAAATGGAATAAATATCACTCAATCCTAAAGAAGCCAGGAAAAGGGGAAAAAGGAAACAAAGATAATGAATTTAAGCCAAATTATATTGATATTTACATTAATTACAAAAAGTCTAAATACTTCAATGAATAGGCAGAGATACTCAGATTGGCTAGAGAAGAAGATGCTATCTACTTGAACTTACTTTAACTACTAAGAGACACATAAATTAAAAATATAAAAGGTAAAATAGATATACCATGTAAACATTAATCAAAAGAAAGTTGGAATAGCCTGTATTAGTAATAGACAAGACAATTTTAGAGCAAAGAATACTACCAGGGATAAAGAAAGGCATTTCATAATGTTAAAATGGTCATAACAAATTTAAGTGTTTATGCAGAGCTTCAAAGTATATGAATCAAAAACTGATGAAATTGAAAAGAAAACAACTCCACATTTTATAGTTGGAGATTTAAACATCTTTCAACAACTGGTAGAAGAACGATAGTATGGCAGAAACTGTACATTCTTTTCGAGTACACATGGAAAACTCACCAAGAATGACCACATTGTAGGCAACGAGACAAGTCTCAATAAATTGAAAAATAGGCAAAATATACAGAGTATGCAAGTATATTCCACAGTAGAATTAAGTTAGAAATCAAAGAAAAATATCCAGAGAATCTCCAAATATTCGATACTTAAATGACAGGTTTTCAAATAACCCATGAATAAAGAAGAAATGGCAGGAGAAATTAGAAGAGTATTTTGAGCTGAATGAAAATGGAAACACAACATATCAAAATGGATGACGTACAGATGAATAGTGCTTAGAAAACATTAAATTCTTTCATTAGAAAAGAAGAAACATCTCAAGCGAATGATCTAAGCTTTCACCTTAAGAAAGCAGAAAAGGGCAAATGAAACCCAGAAGAGGCAGTAAGAAAGAAAGAAGAAAGACCAGAGAGCAATAAAATAAAAATAAATAATAGAGAACAATCAATGAAACCAAAAGCTGGTATTTCGAAAAGATCAATAAAATTGATAAACCTCAACAGAATTATCAGGAAAAAAAGAAGACACAAACTACTGATATCAGGAATGAGAGTAGAGACATTGCTGTAGATCATAAAGACATATTAAAAGGATAAACCAGTAAGTTTTTTACCAGTATGAATTCTTTACTCTTCTAAAGCCTCTGCCTTGAGTAAATGCCTTCCTACATTGCTTACATTGCTAGATATGGGCTTTATGTAAGGGAATATAAACAGGTTTGGGGGCATCATGCTTTCATAACCTTCCCCCAGGTTGACATCAGCTCATCAATCATTCATCTTTAGAGGTGATCATTTTTAAAACATATTTTGTTGAGGTGGCCGATTTAGCTCACTGTAAGTGCACTATGGTCTGGCTAGCTTGGTGAGGCACTCAGTGTTGAGTAGCCACCATTACTATACTTTAGGAGCTCCTTGAGGGATTCAGTTGCTGCTTCTGGCTGGTCATATCATGCTAACTTCCTCTTATGTGTGCTTTTCTGTCCTATGCTTTGGCAGATGATAACAGGCTTCCATTCCTCAATCTCATCTACCTCCCAACCCACCCCTCCACCTGCCACCTGAGCCATTCTCTCCTCTAGCAGTGTCCTCTGGGGATGATGTCCTCTGGTGTTGTGAAGTTTAAAAACTGAGTGGCCTTATCCATGTAGCCAATCTTCTCCCCTACTTTTCAGGACTTGAAAGGTTACCAAAGATCTGAGGGAGTGCTTCTTGTCTCTCTGGTGGGCTGTACCATTTTTTCCCTCATCTACTCCCTACATCCTCAGCAATCAGAGATCCCTGGGGCTCAGGGGATCCCAAGTGGAGAGTCAATACCAAATTTTTTTTTTTTCCCCTCAAGAGTCCTAGGCACTTTACGAGTGATTTCACTGGGAGGTAAGGTAAGGGGTAACTTTTATGGAAATTCTGCTTTCCTGAAAGTCACTCAACAAATATGTATTGAGCATAAACCTAGGTGTCAAGTGCTATTCCATTGCTCTTACAACACATCAGTGAATAACATACACAATTTCATGGAGTTTACATTCTGGATGGTGCCTCATTTTGTTGCCCTTCTAGCCTCTTTATATAGACTGTGTGTGTGGGGGGGGGCATATCGGGGGATTTTTGTGTTATATTGCTGGTTATGCTAAAATGATTTCTCTGAGTCAGTCCTAAAGGAGAAGGGATTGACTCCACACTTCAGATGTGATGTATTTACTGTTTTATGGTCCCAGTTATGGGCTGTAGTCACAGATTTAAGGAAATAGTAAAGACTCTACTTGACACCCTATACTACCATGTTGCATACAAGGATGTGGGGGCCCAGAAAACAAATAGATCTGAGTATCTTCTGAAATACATTCCCTCCCTACAAACTCCAGGCTGAGAATTGAGATGGTTAGACAACAGGCAGGTAGGTGTATTATACTACATCTACAGAATGGGAAATACTAAGTTCTTTTTCTTTCCTTTTTTAAAAAGTGTGTTTATAAATGTGTGTGGTAAACACTTAAAACCATACTTTCAGATAGTTTTATTTTGGCTTCAGCTTCTACTGCTAAGTGCTTGATTCTTTTCATGTTTCCCAATTCAGAATTTTAAGAGAAAATATCTGATTGTTTGAATTCATCTTTTCACACCACCAGATAATGGGATATTGCTTCACTTGGAAGCTGTAGTAGAGTCCTCTTGTCCACTCAGCTGTAGTCATGACAGGAGGAGATAGGACAGAGGCCTAAATAGGGCTCCTCCCTCAAACTGGGGCTATGGGAGCCCTCCTCATTTTGAAAGGGCTCTGAACTGGCAGGGAACAAAACAAAAATTTGTCAAAATGCTATGAGCACCAACCCATATTTCTCTATATGAAATCCTGATATACTATGTTTAACAAAAAGAAAAAAAATATGACTTTTTTTTTCTCCCTAGACAGAAGCTGGAAGAAGATGGAGTCCCATCTAAGAGCTGAATCAGGCTCTTAAGAATGGCAAATTCAAAGTTTCAGGTCATCTTGGGGTGGTTAGGAGGTATATGGGTCAGTAGCTTCAGTTGATTCTCATTTGTCAAGTATAAGAATGTGAAATACTAACTCTGCAAAGTGGCTTTGTAAATTGTGGAGAAGGTAGGAGAATTTTTGTGTTTTCAGTCTATATATGTGTGTCCATGAGCATGCCTGCTAGAACTACTGCGTAGGTCCAGACAGGGTCTGCAGCTGGGCTGGTTTTGTTTATTTTGTGCTATTGCTGAGAATGAGGAACTAGGTGGCCCTCTAGGATGCTTCTGTGAAAAATCTTTTGGAAAAGAAAATGGTAGGGTGTTTCAGAACCACTTCTTCCTGTTTGGGTCTGATGGAATATTATGAGGGTGCAGTGTGTTTTGAGCACTGTTTCAGTCTGTACTTGATAAGGCTCTAGACTCTTGGATTCAGAGTTTTTAGTTTAGATGTCACATATGGCTCTTAGAAGGTTTTGTTTGGTCAGCCTGGTATTGTGGTTGCTATTGCTTTAATTTAATTAGTTACCAACTGAAACTCAGGCCATTCTGAACCCCCCAAATTTCACATTTCCAACTTCTGTTGGAAGTTCTGGTCCTTTAAGACTTGAGTTCTTTCATGGTGAGAGTTAGCTGAGTTGAGCACCTGCTGGCTTTCTAGATAAGCCTGGCAAGGGCCCTCTTGATTTTGTCAGTCAGACCCTACCAGCTTTACTCCTTTATTAGGTAACTCACTGGCTCTATAGGCGTTTGGGTTTGTGACTCCAGCTTTAGAGAACAGCTGATAGCTGGCAGACAGTTCTCTGGAGGCAGGAAGCAAGGGGATAATCATGCTGCCTCTCGTTTTGAAACCTGGCTCTTCGGCCTAGCTGAATGACAGCTGACAATACATCCCTAACTTTTCTAAGTCTCAGGTTTCTCATCTGCGAATGCCACCTCATAGGATTAATGTAATGATCAAATCAACTTTAGCTTATCATGGAGTTTGGCATGCAGTAACTCCTCTATGAATTGATATTAGCTATTTTCATTGATATCTTCAACTTTATTATTAATGTACCTGAGACTAGAGGGTAGCTGGGGAATATATGTAGATATATATGTATATCTATCTTAGATAATAATTTACATATATATTTTCCCCAAGGTCAGAGATTATTTTATTCCCTTAGTAATTCCTCAAAGTATTTTATGCCCCCTTCCCTTGCCCCTAAAAGTTATTCCTTTTACATACCTTTAATCCTATTGCTGTGAGGGCCTATTTCCTCTCATTCTGTCTTCAATGTTGATTATCTTTTCATGTATAATTCTTTTATTTCCGTTTCTGTATTTTAATATCACACCAGCTACTCAAGCTTATTTTTTCTAGACTATGAATATAGACACCTAAGAAAATCATAAAATTAGAAAATAC